GCTCAATCCACTCAGCGTGCTTTGCTTATCAACTCGCGCACATCAGCTATACAGGTGTTAATACTGAATGTTTAACGTTATATTCATTGCATACATATACTTCGTAGACATCTTTAATCTCTAATAACTCCATTCTGCTGTCTGATGTCGGTGTTTCTTTGTCTGAATATGGCACTTATCACATGATGTGTGGTATCGGCGTTTGGTATCGAGGCATTTTAACGAGTACGAGTACAGGAGCTCAGTATCGGGCCCGATACCGATACCAGTATATATATATATTAGACAGACAGTTTGTTTTGTTTTTAATAAGGGATCACAGCTACTAGGATAAAATTAATTACTATGAATCCCTGTAAAAACGCATGTTAGACCTCCAATTATTTCATATTGTATTGCGATTTGCAAGCTTCCCAGCATTGCAGCATGAATAAATTATGAGGTTAGTGTGTTATAATCTTATTGTTTTATCACTTGCTGGCATTATTTATGTTGCTGTGCTTTTTTTCCCCCAAACCACTGTTTGTTGTTTTTGGTTACTGTGTTTAAGATACGTGTGTTAAATGTGCGCTCATTTCAATTTTAATATTATATATAAACTTCACTTCTATTTTAATTAAGATAGACTGTTGATAATATTCATTATTGTTATTTATGCTTTCCATTCAAATTTTGGTCACTTAGGCTGAAAAAAAAAAACCTATAAACAAGAGGGTTGGGAAATGTAAAGGCAACAATTTAGCTGAAATCAAAGAGATGCCTAGCAGTCCCATTCATTCCTTTTACAGTAACATTCCCCTGGAGGATGTAGTCTCGCCTCATCATGACTTGATCTGGCTGCTCAGTGATCCATACATCTGTCCTGGCCTGAGGCAGGCCAGCCAAGATCCAAGCTATTAGCTGGGGAATGTCACAAAACAATGCAGCCACCGTGTGACTAACTGCAGATGGGGAGCAAGAGGGCATACAGACAAAAAAATACACTAAAAGACTGACAGACCCTTTTGACTTGAAGAGTCCCGTGAGATGTGGTCCAGAGAGAAATTTGCCTGTTGCATACTCTGCATACAGCCACACCACAGCCCATCTGTCACCCTGAAATCACTCTATAACTCTTCTCACATCAGTTTCTGGAGACCCCGAACACCTGTGCTACAGCACCAGTTACAACAAACAAAACAAACACGGTTTAAAATGACATAATTAACCATGTGCAAAATGAACAGGCTTTAGAGTCAATAATCATGGCCCATTCAGTCACAGTTATTAGGGTTTGCACAATCATGGACAATCTGAAAACATCAGCGATATTTGTAATTGTTTTCCAGGTCTGAAAAAGCCATGGAAATTTCTGCATTGGATATACATTTTCTATTTATGATCTGCTATAAAAATATAATGTTTTTGAAAAGTGTCTTATGGCGTTTGTTTGATAAAAAAACTGTAAAAACAATAATATTGTGAAATATTATTACAATTTAAATGCAATTGCAATTTTAATGTAAAACAATTATTTTACATTTATTTTAGTTAATTTAAAATACAATTTTAATGTTTTCTATTCTATAATATATCGTATTATTATGGTTGTTCATTTTGTGTGTGTTATAAATAAGTAAATAATAAAAAATAAGAAATGAATAAGTTACTTAATTTAAAAATAATAATAATAAAAATAATAATAATTTTGAATGGTACTGTATTTAACCCTTATCCAGTAATCACAAGCTGCTGGACAGATTGCACTAAATTGAATCATATTTGTACTCCCAGACTGTATCAGTCATATCAAATCTCTTTTGATATAATATCTTTGGTTATCATTGGTTTTACTATCAACAGAATAACCACTGAGAGTAAAACTTAAATAAAACCAGACTCTGAACAGTTACTGAGATCACAAAACTTTCCCTCAGGGATCTTCCTGTCTTGTAGCTCTTCTTTTGATTTAGCCTTATATGAAGGTATTTTATTTCTTGTGATTTTGGATTATGGTCTCTGTTAGTATTAGAAATATGAGTAACATTGTAGACTCTGAACTGTAGTCACAATTTTGACCATTTCCGACTCGGCCTGTCTATTTTAATCTTTCCAGTCTCTGAAATTGAAGTGAGTAGGTTATTAAAGTCACTTAGCAACTGCCAGGAAGCTTGAGCAACAGTGTCAGGGCAAAAGCACTCGCACAGTGTTTTTCCCTCCTCCAGACAGCAACTTTCATAAGATTGCTTAATTCAGTCTTATGGGAGGCATTAGATGCCTCTTTCAGCTTCCCTGATGCTTTTGGAACAAACCGGAAAGAACCATGACATGCCCATGTGATATTGGAGGACGTTTGTCCTTTTGTGTTGAGATTTGCTACTTCACTACTGAATTTTCAGGCACAGATGCTTGGTTATGTAAGAACATAACTGCTTGACACCAAATAATTTTGCAGTGGGAAAGGGCCAAGATAAAACTGGATGATGGTTATAAGGAGTGATAGGATATGGCCTTTAATGCTTGTTAAAATAACTTATTTGGAAAGGCTTTTTTGAAACGGCAGCAGCTTCTCAGACTCTAAGAAACACCTGGCGCAGTCATAGTGATGTGCTAACTTAGTGTTCCCTGATAATAATTCACAAATCAAGATATTATGATCTGCCCATTTGATCCCTTAACAGTTCTCACCCTTCTATTTTTGTGTCTTCTGGCTTCCTTTCCGCATGTTTCTCACAGGTGCGAGTGATCATCATGGATGAGAATGACTGTGTTCCAGAATTCCAGCAGTCCATTTATAGCAAAGACGGTGTCCCTGAGACAGTCACGACCGCAACGTCACTTCTGCAGGGTAAGACTGTGGACCTGCACATCAATGCACCATAGCCATTACATACAGTAGTAGAAAGACCCAGTGTTTATTTTTATACAATTCGTTTTAGTCATGCTTTTATTTTTTTGTAGAAGCAAATACCATTTGAAACCAAATATTCAAATATCTGATATATTAATTTAAGCATGCATGCATACTAGGGCTGTGCAAAAAATCGAATGCGATCGAAAGCGTAGCTTGTCCGTGAACTACGGCTCTGTGTAGTAAATGCTGCTCCATCTGAAAGCACATGCTGGAGATTTACTACTAATCACAGAAGCGGCTTTACTGACGAGATGCGCATGAAAATCGCATTCAATTTTTTGCACAGCCCTAATGCATACTTACGTACGTACATACATTCTTGTGAATATCAGGTTCATGAAATATTATACGTTTGTTGTAATACAATAGATTAGTGAACACATTCACTATTAACTAGGAGTTTTTCCTTAATAAACTCCTAATTTGCTGCTATTTGACAGTTTGTAAGGTAGTTGTTGTAGTTATGTTTAGGTATTGGGTAGGGTTAAGGGATCAAGAATATGGTCATGAATTAAATGCATTATAAGTACCAATAAACAGTCAATGTGCTAGCGATGTGCATGCTAATAAGCAACTAGGTAATAGTGAATAGTGCTCCCTAATCTAAAGTGTTACCCAATACTGTAATTCGTTTTTTATTGCTTATGTTTTAGTCAAGAAGGTTTTAGTTGCTGTTACAAAAAGAGTATATTAACAATGTGACTTTGTTTCGCACTTATGTCATTATGTGCAGATGCTGTAATATTATGTTGCATACTAAAATTTAAAAGTTTAGGGTCAGTAAGATTATTTTATTTTTTTATTTTATTATATCTTTTTTTAAAAGAAATTAAACACTTTATTTTAAGGTCCAATTATCACTATTAACAAGCCATTAACTATGACTTTTACCTCAATAAACTCCTAATTTGCTGCTTATTGATAGTTTGTTAAGGTAGAGTTTAGGTATTGGGTAGGATTAGGGATGTAGAATATGATCATGCAGAATATGTGCTTAATAAGTACTAATAAACAGCCAAAAGGTTAATAATATGCATGCTAATAAGCAACTTGTTAATAGTGAGAACTGGTCTCTATACTAAAGTGTTACCATTTAATTAAGCAAGGATGCATTAAATTAATTAAAAGTTAAAGTTAATACCTTTTATAATTTTACAAAAGTTATATTTCAAATAAATGCTGTCTTTTGAATTTACTATTCATCAAATAATACTGAAAAAATGCTAAATGGTTTCCACAAAAAAAATGAAATGATACAACCAGGGGTGTAGGCAGCAGACGTGCCTGATGGGCACAGGCCCGCCCACTCTGATGAAAGCCCCCCCCACCCACGGTGTACACTTTTATTTCCAAAAATTGTGTGTAAGATCAGCCACTCAGATAGGCTATTTCCAAAAATTGTTTTCTAGTTTTGCATGCGGTATGCATTATGCATCAGACAGTCCATGAGCAGGTTGTAGTCGACCTGTGAGGCTTTGCCATGAGACTCGTATGGCCTTAGAAAGTCTATTTCTCACAAAGACCGAGACAACAAGGCAAGAAGATGCTCTCTTCTTCCTCTATCATTCTGTTTAACACCACCTTTGAAGCACTTCTCCCCTGATGTGCCCTTTCAAATATCTAAATTGCACATTGAATCTGGAGTCTATGTACTAACCCCTGCGAGTGCACTTGTAACACACAGAATGGAAAACACATGCCCTCAGCCATGATAAGAGGAGCTTTCATATTCTCATTACATTTTAGACAACCACAGCTGCTATCAAAGCACCACAGAAATAAAGTGATGGACAAAACAACAACTGCAGAGGACAGACCGACTGCCTATGCAGACACAACGGCAAACAAAAGAGAACAAAACAAACAAACACTGGAAAGTTACCGTGATTAAAAAAAAGCACTGCTGGTCCTGGAGAATAACAGGTCTTGGCAGACATTTTGACAGCTTAACACTGAGGCTCCTGGCAGAATGGGAAAGGTGATGCAGCGAGGTGTACAGCAGATGTGCTGATTAGCAGGTGCAAGCCAACCAGCATCTGCACACCCGTCTGTGTGGGCTTCATAACAATTATCTCCACTGAGCACGAAATATCCTGCTTGCTCAAGTTAAGCCTAGAAGAACAGAAGAGAGCCTACTTTTCAAGAATAATTTGTAACATGTGGCTACTTATCAAACATTCATAATGAATGAGATGGACAGTTTATAATTTAAACATCTGGGAGAACAGTCGTTTTCGTAATGAATGGGGTTTGCTGGATTTTATTGCTGAGGGTCCACTTCAACTGTAGGTACAGCAGAAGATTAGGACTCAGCCGATGTATCAATATGGAATTATCCTATTTAATTTCTTGTCTTTATCTTACTCTTATTCTCCAATGTTGGAATTCGCTGCAGTAGATGGAAGTGAGTGGGGTGGAGGGGGATTCGGGATCTGCCACAAGGACTTGTTAAGTGTGATCTGGAGGACACAGTCTCACATGGTGCAGTTGGGATCTCTGCAAAGTCTGTCACACTTCTAGAATTACACAAACTTAATTTAAGAAACTGTAAGAGAACTAGAGGGTCAATAATGGAAGCCATCAGTGAAAGTGCCTTTAAAAGATCACTGGCCTAGTTAACATATTGGAAGATATAAAATACTTAATACAGTAGTGAAGTTGTACTGTAATATTAGTTTAGGAGCTCAAGTTTTCCACAGCTAGGACAGTTTTGATATTGTTAAATGCTGAAACATGATTAAATATATATAATGTGGTTAAATTTAGTTTAATTTTACACTCTCTCGTCAACTAAAATGTGACCCATGCTGGCAAAATGAGTCGGAATGCTACAGGCAAAAACAAGTGAAAAATGTAGTCGATTTTAGTCAGATTTGAGGTTTTCACAAAAATGAGTTCATTAAGCCCGCATCTAGTGATCCCATTGCTCCAAATAGTAATTAAGCATCTAAAATGATGGGTATTTGTACGTTTTCTGAGGGGAGTACCTTTTCTCCACTTGCTTCTGGCTAGGGCTGTGTATCGAGTTCGATACTTTTTAGGCACCGACCGAATTGCCTCGATACCATCGAGTATCGAAAAACGTCTCGTCATTCGGTACCAAATTTCGATACCTAAGGGGTTAATCTCATCAGCGTCAGCGAGCCAATAAGCCTGCAGCACTAGCCGGTGTGTTCGACTAGAGGCGCGGCGCAGATCGATCATCCGCGAGAGCGATTCGAAAGCGCACGGAGCAGTCTGCTCTCTTTAGCTCTCGTGGTACTGTAATAGGCTGATCGGTCTGCACAGTCGGTCCGCGTCAAGTCGAACAATATAACAAACAATAGGGTAAAAAATGACAAACTATTTCCATGTCTTCCACCTTTTTTTATGTAGGCTACGGAAATCACGCTTTCTTTCTCCCAGTCTCTCTCACAGATGCACACAGTGCAGACACGCACTCGCGCGGAGACGCGAACAAACTTATTGTCAGCGCTGCACCGCGAATTTATCAGTAAAGGTTAGATAATGTAATCTTGTTAAAATTGATTTCATAAAATTGGTATCGAAAAAAGTATCGTTCAGGAACCGGTATCGAAGTCAAGGTATCGGTATCGATATCGAAAATTTTTGAACGATACCCAGCCCTACTTCTCGCGCTGAATGTCATCCGAAGCGCCCGCATGAAAGATGCTTCCGACTGTGCCCGATCCTGATAAATATACACGTATACACAGAATTACAGTATTTCAGTTTGCACGCAAACATAATCTGCTATCTCTTAAGTGAACGTTTGTGGAACTGTTGGGGGAAAACATCTGATGTAACATTATATTAGATCCGTGCATTACACTACATCTTAATAAAGGCCGTCGGTCTCATTAATGTTAATCTAACAATAAAAGAGGGAATCACTTGCTGCTCTTGATTAAACTGCTTTTATAGTTTTAATAATCAATTTATTTGTAATGAACACACTGAAGTAATTTTTACATTTGATTATTTGTTTTTCTTACTGGAATGTTTTTGTTTAGATGTAAAATGGAAAAGGTAATGCATTATTTGTTTCTTATATTTGTTCTACTGCTTTTTTGCATATGTTCTTATTTATAATAACAAAGATAACATAAAAATAGCTATATTGTGATTATTAATATAGTAATTGTTATTAAGAAAAGAAGTGGAGGAAAATATACAGTGTTGCTAGGTAATTTTGCTTTGGAACCTTCAGAAAACTTTAACTCGATTTTTCTCGTAATTAAGTTTGCTGAAACTGTCAACTTAGCTCAGTCATTTTTCGTCCAATTCCAACAAATCATACGTCATTTTCTTGGTCTTTTAATGAAGAATGTGAAATTACAAATAACTAATTTTTTGAAAATGTGCTCGTTGTGACTCATTTTGCTAGCACAGGTCACAAATGTTATTTTCATTTATAAAATCAGATGCCACTATAGGCAGATAGCTTACTGTTGGATTTTCAGTCAAATTTTGACAACATGTATTGAATTAGGCAACTTTTTTAAAGAACTGCATTTACAGTACTGTATAACAGATACAATCATGTATGCAATTGATCCATTCTGTTCATGTTGTTCATAATATACTACTGAAAATGTGTACTTTACAATTCAGCAGAAATTGTTGGTTTTCTAAAGTGCAGAATCAGGGAAACTGGACCTCAGCTCGAGAAATATTTACCCCTTTATGTCGACACTAGTTGAGTTGATGTGCAAAGCAGCTACTGTGTATGCAGTGCTGTATTCTGAAGTTCATTTGAAACAGGCTCACACCTTATTGAACGCCATTGCATTTTACTGTAGTTGTCAGATGCAATAAGACTCACAGCTTGGGATCTTTTGATTGCCAGTCATGTATAACCATTCTAGTCATTCATTTGACAAGCGCATATGCCCAAGCTATTTACACAGGAAAACTCAAATAAAGATTGATCCTATTAGCTGATGCTGCATTTCTTGGTAGTGCAACTGCTTTGTTTTAACACCCACCTCCTGTATTTCTCTCTCTTTTGCAGTATCAGCCAACGATTGCGATTCGGAGCAGAATGCAGATATCACATACTACACGCTTAGTCCAGATTTCATCATTTCAGCACATGGCACCATATTCCCGGCAGGCCCTCTGGATTACGAGAGGCCCAACCACCTGTATGAATTCGTAGTGATGGCGGTGGATAAGGGCGAGGTGCCCCGCACCGGCACGGCCACCGTGCGTCTTCGTATGGCCAATGTCAACGACGAGCCTCCGGAGTTCTCGCAGCCTGTGTGAGTTCCTTATCTCTGCAGCCGCTCCTCAGCCTCATCCCATGACCCTGTGAGGAATGTGATAATGGAGGCCCATTTTTTTTATCCGCCCGTAAGCAGCAAACATTTTAAAGGGCCAAGATATTGTTATCAGGCTAGCAGTTAACATTTTAATTAATGATATTTTTTTTCCCCAAAATCCCTTCTCTGTGTATTTCCAGTGTGTTGTCGTGGGTTCATATCTACACTAACTGCATGTTCACATCTGGCACTTCCTAACATGTACCAATGCTTTCCTAATGTCTCACAGTCTTGCTGTGTTTGTCTGTATGACAAGAATGAAATATAGTTCAAATATAGTGTGTTTTCAGTTGACAGCTATTGTAACATCTAGACTTCAGATTAGATATATACAGTGTGTATATATACTATATATATATATATATATATATACACACACTGTATATATCTAATCTGAAGTCTAGATATATATAGTAGTGCTGTCAAAATTAGCGTGTTAATGCAGGCGATTAATTTTTCAGTTTAACGCGTTAAAAATATTTAACGCTGTTAACGCAGGGGCGGGGCTAGTGTTGGTCACCGCACTCACAACTGCTGCCTCTGTCTCTTTTTTCTTGCAAAGAAGTGCATTTATTTAGTTGCAGAACGTCGTTACGACCACATCAAACCAGAGATTCAGACGTGCGCTCCAACATCACTTCAGCTCCAGGCGCGAGTCAAACGAGCGCGGAAACGGTACTGGGCTCGTAGCGCGTGCTCTTCAGTTGCACTCACAAAGGCGTCGGCGTGCGCTGTAGCCTGTATCTTTCCATATCAAAGCGCGAATGAAACTACGTGCATGCAATGTTGTGGTCAGTTAAGTCATGAAGTCACCAAAAAGGCGATTAAAGCTGCCTAAAAACTGTGCATGCTTGTAATATATTATAGATGAGTCACATGTAAGAACTCTGAAATGGTTTTCAAAACTGTCCTGGAGCAGCCCAGCACTGTCTCCCTCATCTAACACACTCAATTCAATGCGCCAGTTCATTATTGAGACTTTAAGACCTGAAGTGAGTCAGAAAATGATGCGTGTCAGATCCGCGTCACGTTCCGCAGCGGCAGCTCTTAAAGAAATGGCAGCCAAAACAACCTAATAACCAGCTGCTGTGATGTGATGAAAAAAAGAGGAAATCGATAACTTTTATAGCTTTAAGGATTTATCTCTATTTAATTTAGAATTTAGAGTTTGATAACTTCAATTTCTGTATATTTCTGATGAAGGGCACAGGTAAATAATATTTATTACAAAGGGGTTATGTGAAGATTATTTTAAGTTCACTTAAATTAGAAGTTATTTTTTTAAAGTCTAATAAATTTTCAAATTGATAGCTCTCAATTATACTGTAATGTTGAATGGCTATAGTCAATGGTTAAATATTAGGGGGGAAAAACAAATTTTATAGAGACATCAGTAGTATCGGTACCAGTGATACTGGCCTTCAGTCATAAAAACGATGCCATTAAAGAAATATACTGTCTTTATGTTGTTTGTACATTAATTAAAATTAATTTATTAATTAAAATTAATAAAAATCAACTACAGCTGTAGTGGAGATGTTAATAATCTCTAACAGAGCAGGAAGACACTTACTTCCAAGGATGAAAATTGCTTTAATTGATGCTTGACATATATATATGTGTGTGTGTGTGTGTGTGTGTGTGTGTATATATATATATATATATATATATACAGTTGTGCTCATAAATTTTCATGCCCCTTGCAGAATATGCAAAATGTTAATAATTTTAACAATATAAGAGGGATCATGAAAATTGCATGTTATTGTTTATTTAATACTGTCCTGAATAAGCTATTTCACTTAACAGATATTTATATATTCTCCACAAGACAAAATAATAACTGAATTTATAAAAATGACCCCGTTCAAAAGTTTACATACCCTTGAATCTTAATACTGTGTGTCGTTTCCTGGATGATCCACAACTGTTTTTATATGTTGTGATAGTTGTTCATGAGTCCCTTGTTTGTCCTGAGCAGTTCAACTGCCTGCTGTTCTTCAGAAAAATCTTCCAGCTCCTGCACATTCTTTG